GGGACCACTTGTGTGTTTCTTTAATTTTATTGCTCCAAATTTATTATTAGATAAAGTATGATCTCTTGATTCTGACTTGACTTAATACAAGTAAAGAGTAGTGTATATAGTGGAAGAAAGTATAAATCATTTTTATGAAGATTTCTGTATTCATTTTTAACCCTGAAAAAGTTATGAGGTTTTGATACTTTCCCATGTTTGTTTCTTGTCGAAAAAATATGTATGCATTGTTATTATCTTTTTATTATAGTATATATGTGCTCTTTGCTTTCCAGGTTAATCAGATGAATGATGAAAATCGTCGCCTTAGAGAAAAGCTTAGTCTGATAACCACTCAAGTGAAAGCCCTCCCAGGAGGGGCATGCCTAGCCATGTCAGTGTCAGATGTTGCAAGTCCACCAAGAACAAAGATTGTTCCCCTCTCAGGTAGGATGCCTGTAGTTTGATGATCTTAACAGTCTTTTGAAGTCATTGTTCCTGCTTCAATTTGTCTCTTTTATTTTCCATTATATTCTTGCCAGTTTTATTTCCTTATTTTGAATAGCACCTTATCATTAGTTCTCTGCTATTTTCTTTACCACCTTTCACTTCTCCTCCTCCTCTTCTTCTCTTCTCTTCTTTTCTTCCTCTTCTATTCCTCTTCATCCTCCTCCTCTTTCTTCACTTCCTCCTTCTCCTCCTCCTCCTCTTTCTTCACTTCCTCCTTCTCCTCCTCCTCCATCTCCTCCTCATTCTCATCCTCATCCTCCATCCCCTCCTCTTCCTCCTCAAACCCATCCTTTCCTTCCTGCTCCAACTCCTCCTCTTCATCCTCTTCTATCTCCTCTTCCTCCTCTTCTAACCCTTTCTCCTCCTTATCCTCCAACCCCTCCTCTTCCTCCAAATCCTAATCCTCCTCCTCTTTCTCTTCCAATCCTTTCTCTTCCTCAACCTCCTCCTTCTCCTCCTCCTCCAATCTCTCCTCCTCCTCTTTCTCTTCCAATTCTTTCTCTTCCTCAACCTCCTCCTTCTCCTCCTCCTCCAATCTCTCCTCCTCCTTTTCTTCATCCAACAATGCCTCCTAATCATCACCCTCTTTCTCCTCTTTCTTCTCCTCCTCTAACCCTTTCTTTCTTCCTCGTCCTCCTCATTCAACCCTTCCTTTCCTCCTCCTCATCCAAACCCTTCCTCTTCCTCCTCCTTCCTCCTCCTCTCTCTCTCTAACCCTTCCTCTTCCTCCTCCTCCTCTAACCCTTCCTCTTCTCCTCCTCCACCCTTCCTCTTCCTCCTCCTCCTCTAACCCTTCCTCTTCCTCCTCCTCCTCTAACCCTTCCTCTTCCTCCTCCTCCTCCTCCTCTAACCCTTCCTCTTCCTCCTCCTCTTCCTCCTCCTCCTCCTCCTCCTCTTCCTCCTCCTCCTCTCTCCTTCCTTCCTCTCCTCCTCAACCTTCCTCTTCCTCCTCTTCCTCGCTCCTCTAACCTTCCTCTTCCTCTCCTCCTCTAACCCTTCTCCTTCCTCCTCCTCTAACCCTTCCTCTTCCTCCTCCTCCTCCTCAAACCCTTCCTCCTTCTCTTCCAACCCCTCCTCCTCCTTCTCCAACCTTTCCTCCTCTTCCTCCTCCTCCAACCCTTCATCCTCCTCCTCCTCCTCCAATGCTTTCTCCTCTCTTCCTCCTCCTCCTCCTCCTCCTTCTCCTCCTCCTCCTCCAATGCTTTCTCCTCCTCCTCCTCCAGCCTTTCCTCCTCATCCTTTTCCTCCTCATCCTCCAGTATTTCCTCTTCCTTTTCCAACCCTTTCTCCTTCATCTCCTCATCATCCTCTTTCTCTTGTTCCTCCTGTTCATCTTCTTCCTCCACCTCCTCCTCCTCCTCCTCCTCTCCTCCTCCTCCTCCTCCTCCATTGCCTACTCCTCCATTGCCTCCTCAACCTCTTCTTCCTCTACCTCCTCTTCCTCTACCTCCTCTAGTAGACATCCTTGTCTACCTCCTGTTCCTCGTCTTTTACAAGCTCCTTTTCCACCACCTCCTCCTCTTCGTCCTCATCCTCATCCTCCTCATCCTCATCTTCCACCACCTCCTCCTCTTCCTCCTCATCCTCATCCTCCTCATCCTCCTTCTACATCTATGAACCATGGTTCAAACTCTTTAGTATAGTGTTGATATGTGTGAGTACATGGAAAAGACTAAAGGTAGGATAAGGTGAAGTTACTTATTTTCTTGTTAATGATTGTTGAAATTAATGGGATGCTTATTTGCAGAGGAGCTTGATAGTTTTGATGATCCGCCTTCAAGATTTCTTTCATCATTAAAGGATACATTAGATGAATTTGAACAGGTATGTATATAGTCTGTAGATGTCATTGAAATTCATTTGGTTGTTATTTTGTATTATGTTAGAAATGTTTCACATTTGATTTTAGGTAATAAAGCAGTTTTCGCTGAAACATTTTGAAAGGATCTGATGGGGGTTTCTTAAGGTTTTATTAACTTTGGTCTCTCTCTGTTTTGCATAGACTGAAACTACAATTAATGTCATTTCTGTAAACAGATTAGTAGTAGTGAGCTTGCTGAAGTGAATTCTGAATGGGATGAAGAGAGCAGTGATGAACAGCTCATGGAATCAGTGGAGTCTGCAGCAGAACGCATGAAAGAGTTGCTTTCTAGCCTGCAGGAACAAAATCACAGCCTCCTCCTATTATCTCCCCTCTTGCAATCATTCACATCAACATCTGGGTCTCGAACTGGTGAGAATGTCATTGGTACTACTTTGTATTCACACAAGAACATGGATTTCAACTTACATGATGTATAATAATAAGTGTTTTAGTATTTTGCACTCCTTTGCCTATGTTAGCCAGGGTATTTTTTTCAGTAAATAGCAATATGTCTTTAACATTACCTTGAATTAAGATCTTAGTGCAGGTGTCATTGACATAAACATAAGCCCAAGTCTTTAAAGTAGAATGTCTTCTGTCTTGCAGGAAGTTACCCATTTGATACTGACAGTAAAGAGAGTACGACAGGGCCATCTAGAAATGGCACATTAAACCAGCGAGACCGTGACCTCTCCACTCTGACAGTGACCCCTTCCACACAATCTCAGAGTGCCACTCAGACTGGAGATGAAACACCATCTGATGAGGATGGAATGTGCCAGAGTCGGTTAGCAACTTGTGGGTCTGTACTTAATCCAACCTTCATCTCTTCAGGGGGAATGAACACGTAAGAACTTTCAAATTCTATTTAGTTATTGGTTTTACTTAATTATATGTTGTTGATATTATTTGAATTCTTGTTGATAACATTAATGATCTTACTATTATATCCACCTGTCTACATATATGCTTATTCTGTTCTTATTTCTGTGCAATCATTTTTTCATGTAATTGAATTTATTTTTGAAAATTTTAGTAACTCTGAAGGTTTTATTTGCTTCTGCTTCATGAAATGTAAATTATTTAATTAGGATTAAACACAGCAAGTTTGTATGTGGTATCAAGACTCCATGCCTCTCCTTTGTAATTTTGTTATCTCTTTTTCTTCATAAGATTATTTCCTTCTCTATTTCCCAAGGTCTACTATAGTTGTTAATTTTTATACTATATCAAGATCAACTTTCCTTGAGCAGTCTTCATATCCTTTTTCTGAATGGTATATAACTCTATGTGGTAACAATTAGAATAAGGGACAATGTTATTTGTGTCATTTTTTTTAGTATTATTGTGTTATTTGATTTTCTGTAATACACCCTTTGCCACTGGTCATTGCGGGTGGAATAGAATACTCAGTATGGAAATGTTTTTCTCCCTGGATTCAGAGCTCTTCCTGTTGCAGCTCATGGATAGTACATTGTGCCTTTGCTTACAGATGGAAATACTGCAAGAGCCCCTTTCTAAATTCCTAAATCTTTCTCCAAGAACTTTGTGCACTAATGATGAGTCATTCCTGTCAGTCCTGCCCACAGTAGAAATTCTCATGATGGCATGCTCCTGTCCCCCAAGCCCTCACTTTATTTATTTTATTTATTTATTTATTTTTTATTTATTATTATTTTTAATATACTTTTTTCATTATTATTATTTTTTTTTGGAGGGGGGGGTAGGGTGGAAGTCTCTTTTATGTCACATGGCCCTCACCCAATTTTTCTATAACGTGATGGTTGAATTATTTAGATGTAATGGGTAAGGTTTTTTTCTTTCTCTTGTTATTTTCTGTTTTTGGTCCATTCTGTTGTTCTTTAACCACATGCACCTGGGCCACTTATATTGCTTATATGACTATATTACAGCTTTGCTAGGTTCAAGCAGCCATTTGTGAGGTCATGCAGTGCTTGATTAGGGATTCTTGTCACTGTTTTCCTTGTATCCTCAATTCCTGATGGCTTTTAATAATGAAAGCAAGGTAAATTAGTAGATTTTAGCCAACATTAGAAGACTGAATTTAAACATGAGAATGGACCACACACAACTTTTGCACACTGTGTAGTGTATCTGTAAGAACATAGTTAAAGACTTGACATGGCAATTACATGCTGACACTGGATTCAGTGATCTCAAAAGATATTTTGATTGTGAAAACTTAATTTTACATGCCATCCTAAGTTATCTACTAAAGTGTCATGTTTAGGGATTTCTCTATGTAATCTGTATGAAAGCCAAGATTATATTAATCACAAGACTGTTTCAAAACAGGAGTCAGACAACAGATGACAGTGGAGGGGACAACAACATTTTGGTAGATGCAGACACTCCAACAGCTGATCGGCCTCAAAGTCCATTTGACTGGAGACAAGTCCAGGTAGGAAACAACAGTGAGAATGAATAATCAAAATTTGATATTGTATTACTCTTTCTCTGAATTGGTGACCAGGTTAGTCACCCTGCACTAATGTCTAATGTCTAATTTACTGATGGTGTTATCAGTATATATAGAGTTTAATGAACAAAGAGACCTCTGATTTAAGACATTTGATTCAAGATATGAAGATGTAATCATTTTATGCAGCATGTGTATTGGACCTTA